GCCCGACGCAGGCGGTTAGCCCCGTCCCGTCCGTCCGTATATCCGCAACTATATTTAGGGCGGCGGCCGTTGAACTCGAAGGTCGGTACCTGCGCCCGCGCAGCCGTACACCGACAGTATTTTACACTTTTTATACTCTTATACAATGCTACAAAGAATCCTGATAACTTATATATCCCTGGTGTTTCAGACGAGTATACAATAGAATACAAAATCCTTCATCTTTACCAATATTACTAGCTGTACCCGCGACTTCGTTCGCGTGAAATTTAACTTTATTTTTCTAAAATAAAAGTAGCCAAGTTACTCCTTATCACATTAGCTACCTGTCAGAAAAATTCCGTCAAAATCGGTCTAACCATTTCAGAGATAAGCCGGAACAAGCAAACCGACAGGCAAAAATTGTAACAAATGTTATTTTGGTGTATGTACCGTATTTATATTCATATGTATGTAGTAAAAAACGATTAAGTATTTCAATATTACAAACAGACACTCCAATTTAATTTATATGTAGGCCATAGATGCACCGTATGCTTGTTTGCCACCATCTTGGTTTTTTTCTCGGACTAATCTAAAACTGTCCGCAGCTGGCCTTTACAGCTTCACCGGACGATAGGGGGCGATAACTTCAATCTTTATGCTTCCTATACCTTTATGTTATCCTGGTACTTTCACTGGAGTATTGCAGTTTAAAGTAGTAGTAGTAGTATACGTCCAGGCTTATGCAAATCGTCTATATATGACGGTGGCTTTTTTCGTGCTCTAATGCTGTTGGCTGCAGCTGGCCTTTACAGCTTCATCGGACTATAGGGGGCGAGTGTAGATGGCACTCCAAACCAAAGGAAGGACATATGGAGCGGCTGAAGGACTACTCCCTCCTGACGGATACGACTAAGGGCACAGCTAGGGGTTCGAACCTCGGCTCAGACCGTCGTAATATCGATCCCCGTTTCGTGGTATAATCTAAATATATATAACTCAAAGGTGACTGACTGACATAGTGATCTATCAACGCACAGCCCAAACTACTGGACGGATCGGGCTGAAATTTGGCATGCAGGTAGATGATATACCGTAGGCATCCGCTAAGAAAGGATTTTGATTAATTCTTCCCCAAAGGGATAAAATAGGGGATGAAAGTTTATATGAAACTTTGTCAATTTTAAACCGATCGCGCTGAGACTTTGCATGCATAAATCTACTATGACGTAGGCATCCCCTAAGAAAGGATTTTGATAAATTCCATCCCAAAAGGGATAAATTAACGGAGGCAAAAGCTAGTAAAAAATAAAACTTATATATTTTTGCCTCGTGTCGTTTAATGGCCAGTTTTACCCGTTTCTATGATATCTAATCAAAGAACAAACCGACCGAGTGCTGAGTCAGCGCATTCTCACTATACTGATTCACTATGTGTGAGAAACAAGGCTGCCAACCGCACCGTAGGGTAACCGTGCCAATAAACCTTCCTTACTAATATTATAAATGTGGAAGTAGGTATGTTTGTTACACTTTCACTCAAAAACTACTGAACCGATCATCATGACATTCTTGAAGGTATTGGAATGAAAAAAAAAACAATTTTTTTTGTAATAATAAAAAAATTTAATATCAACATTTTGCTACTTCACTAACAGCCAGTAATGAAGTTATGCGAGGGAAGCCGCGGGAAATAGATATAGAAATAATCTTTATTCAAATAAACTCATTACAAGCACTTTTGAATAGTCATATTTTTGATTCTACCACTCATTCGGAACGCAGACTCATCACAAGAAGAACGAGCGAGAAACTTGTGTGTTGCTCTTTTAAATACATGTTGTTCAGAATTGAATTTTAAAGAATTTTGTGTGAATATAAATTGTCAAATAGAAAAGTCGACTATTTAGGTTTTAGGGTCCGGAGCGGAGCATGAAATTACAGGATAAAAAGCAAATCGTGACAAAATCACCCGTGTGTATATCTACTACGATGGTTTCCATGGGAACTGCGTGGAGATCACCCTGATGTAATGTACCATACATTGCTAGCAATGGGATCATTGGCTAGGATAGGATTCTTAGTAATGTGGACTACACAGCAATCCCATCCCCACAATATTACATACTAGCTACGCCCGCGATTTCACACGCTTTAAATTTATAGTCTATATGTTATTCTGATGTATAAGCTACACCACTGTGAAGTTTCATCATAGTTCAGCAGTTTTTGCGTGAAAGAGTAACAAACAACCATCCATAGTCACAAACATTCGCATTTTAATGTTAACTATTTATGTTTATATTAAGTTTATTATTTGAATAAAAAATATTTCTATTTTAAAGCAATGTGCTTGGTTGATATACTTATGTGAGACTCAAAAAAAACAAATTTGTAAAGTCTACGCATCTATACATATAAATAAAATTGGAGTGTCCGTTTGTAATATTGAAATAACCGTTTTTTTACGACATACACATGAATATAAATACCGTACATAGACCAGAAATCCACTTTTTACAATTTTCATCTGTCTGTCTGTCTGTTTGTTCCGGTTAATCTCTGAAATGGCTGGACCGATTCTGACGGGACTTTTATTGGCAGGCAGCTGATGTATTAAGGAGTAACTTAGGCTACTATTATTTTATAAAAACAAAGTTAAATCGCGATCAAAGTCGCGGGAACAGCTAATATTTCAATAAAACTGTTATTTCCCCATTACATTCAGTTCACAGAATAATGTAACTATATTGAATCACTGTGGACTTCCTGTAAGTCTGTCTGTAACGAGGAAGTTCAATGAATTATACGTGAATAAGATTTTACATAGATGGTGTGACACCATAGGCAATAATAACTTATAATTCCATTGAGGAAGATAATGTATATATACTAGCTGACTCGCGCAACTTCGTCTGTGTTTCATTGCCCCACCTTTTCCAATATATCATTGCAGCTCTGCTCCTATTGGTAGCAGCGTAATGTTATATAGCTTGCAGCCTTCGACAAATGGACTATCCAACACAAAACGAATTTTTCAATTCGAACCAGTAGTTCCTGATATTAGTGCTTTCAAACACTTCAGCTTTATAATAATTGACTTTGTTATTTAAATAAAGAAAAAAATATTTATTATTTAAGTAACTAAAGAAAAAAATATTGAGCATGCCACATCAATTCGAGCCGTGGGCCATAGTGTGGACAGCTCTGATTTAAATAGTAAGCAGAGCAGGATGATAGTGATAAAAAAATTACATAATTAAGTAACATAGTAATAATAATAATAATCTCAGGACAATTCACACAGCGCCATCTAGTCCCAAGTTAAGCTAGCTAAAGCTTGTGTTATGGGTACTAGATAACTGATACAAATACATAGATACTTTTTTTTGTAAATACATACATAATATACGTAGCAGGTGATTGTTAGTAATGTGGACTGATGATCTTATTGCTAGCATGTCTTAATGTACCATGTCAGGTTGACATCCACACAGTTCCTGGAAACCATTGAGTTAATAATAAATAAATTCCTAGTGAAACATTATATGCTAACTGACCTGACCTCATGCTCATCTTATCATCCTCCACTGGTGCCCCACCATCGTATACCGTTAGCTCAGGCGGGTGCAGCATTACATTATCATCCATAAAAAATATCTATATATATAGCAAACACCCAGACCGACACAAACAATGAATATAAATATATTTGATACAATGGAGGAATCAAACTTGTGACTGTTGGAAGTGAAGCGGAAACTGTACAGTCGGATTCACCTACGAGTACAAACTGTACTGTTTCTAAATTAAATAATACATAAATAACAAGCAACCTTGGTTTCAGGCTGGTAGACAGTTATATAGATATTGCTATGTTATTTCATTAAAACTAATTGTTGTATAACAATAATTGTGTGTTTTTTATTGTCACCCTCAATATAACTTTTTATCAAAAAAGTTAAATATGTAGGGTACTTAAATATAATCATTCTATGTAAGCTTAATACAAGCATTTATATTAAAAAACATGATTCTAAAATATAAATGTGTTTCAATCTATAATACTAATATTTCTAACAGCAGTTTATATAATAAAAACCCACTCATTATCAAGTTATTAAAAATGCAATATTAATAGAAATAGAAATAATCTTTATTCAAATAAACTCATTACAAGCACTTTTGAATAGTCATATTTTTGACTAGCTGTACCCGCGACTTCATCCACATGGAATTTAACTTTATTTTTCTAAAATAAAAGAATATTTCTAAAATAAAGGTAGCCTAAGTTATTACATCGGCTACATGCCAAAAAAGTCACGTCAAAATTGGTCCAGGCATATCAGAGATTAGCCGGAACAAGCAGACAGAAAGATAAAAATTGTAAAAAATGTTATTTTGTTGTATGTACGGTATTTATATTTGTATGCATGTAGTAAAAATCGGATATTTCAATACTACAAACAGATACTCCAATTTTATTTATATGTATAGATTCTGCCACTCATTCAGAGCGCAGATTCATCACAAGAACAATGAGCAAGAAACTTGTGTGTTACTCTTTTGAATAGATAATATTTCAAACATTGCTCAGTAGATATCATTGTACAATTATTTCCTGAGCATGCTTATTGAAATACAAAAATGTTGCTGCAGTGCTGCCAAATGCTTCTATTAATTGGTAAAACTCTTCATATATATGAAGCATCATAAAATATTTATACCTGAACAGGTTATATGAAATACAAATGACATTGGTATGTGTTTGTATCATTGATAATTTATTGTAACAACTCATGTTTTATATCTAAATTTATATAGATAATATTATATTATGTAAAGGAAAAGATATTAGGCAACCATATTTCGAAACTTGTTTTTCCATCGTGAAAGTTCACCGCAACCAGCAACTTCCATGAGGTACGTTTGCCAAATTTTTATGCAACGCAGTGAAATCACGGCAAAGGAAATAAAAAGCGTAAGTGGACATGCCATATTGCTGTTTGAGCACATACCTATAGTTTTGCTCGTAATCCCAGAACTCCTTGTACCGCGGGTGCCAGCGAGGGCCCCCCCGCGAGTAGGGCCTCCTAGAGCCTCCTTGGCTCATGCCCGTTGCGCCATAACTCCACCAGGTATCGATCCGCGCAACCGGGTCTCTAAACCCGACTCCTCACAACGATTGCACAACACAAAACCAGAAATCCACTGCACTGCGACACTTTCACAATATCAACGGGAAGAATATCTATATTTTTGGACTTCACTGGAGCCCTACGCTATTGTTTTGGAGACTACTGCAACGGAGCGAAGCTCGCGCGGACTGAGCTCACGCAAGCGCGCCAACGTCACAGAATGATATTACTGCCCTCTACTGCCCTCTATATATTGCACAGATTACCATTCAAAATTCACCGCCAAAATGTATTTTTTAAAGTAATCAAGAATTTCAAGTTTCTATTTCACGTGAAACAGAAATATTTAATGGAAGTATAATAATATGTAAGTTTATAACTGCCAGTAACTGTAAATATTTAACTGCAACCCTAAAATGGATTAACGATACAGTTATTGATTTTATATTAGTGTCACGCGATATGTTGGGTATTATATTTTCATGAGGTGCAAATAAAGTCTCAAATTAGCAGTCAACAACATAGGGCGTGTTATCATCCACTTTAAATGGTTCGTCACCGCTCATATAATTAATGTGAATCAGATGATAATCTTGTCGACGATCCACGCTGGGTTCCAGTGTTTCCTCATCCACGGGAACACATTACACTATCAACACACACTCTGCACATTATAAAACGTAGAAAATCCCGTGTTACGCACAAATATAGTACAATACAAAGACGTAACGATACGCTCCCAGACCGAGCAAGCAATACGTAAGCTTGTAAAAAAAGTTTACACAACTAAACCCGTCCGAGGCGCTCAGCGATTTGACGCTACATTCAGCATTAATAACAATTGCGTCAGAGCTGAACGTGTATTTGTATAGATCATTGAGAAGCGCTTGATCGCTTGCGATACGTGAAACCACGCCCATTGTTATTATAATGCAGCCAACATGACGCACTGTGCAGTGTGAAGTTAGCCGCCAAAAACAATTTGCGATGGCGTCGTCTCTTTCTAACAAATAGGAAGGACAGAGATAAAGAATGACAATACAATGACACAACAAGCTGCGGATTTTATGTTTATTTTTTGTGTTCACCTCATTTTTACAAATAATCGTGATTCCATTGGGTCGGATGACATTGTGTTTGAAATCTTTAATACGCAATAAACTGTTTATCACTCTTATAAATATCTACATCCTTATTTATTTTATTACATTCGTAATTAGTAATTCTTGAGGACGCTTGTGGGCTGAGTTTACGCAACAGCACATACCAAATGATAATTAGTTTATTTTTATCATGCATGGGTAATTAGATAGGCACATTATAGAGTATACACACGCCTCCATGTCGGCTCGAGTTGCTGAATCTTCGTAAAATTACTTATGTCGTAAAACTGACATTATTCATCCGACTCTAAATAAATAAATAAATAACCCTGCATAATTCACACAACGCCATCTAGTTTCACGGTTACAGAGCTTGTATTATGGGTACTAAACAACTGATAGAAATACATATGTACTTTTTTTTTGTAAATAGAAATAAGATAGAAACAGCATTCAAAATAAGCAAAATATAATAATAATAATCTCAGGACAATTTACACAGCGCCATCTAGACTCACGTCGAACTAGCTAAAGCTCGTGTTATGGGTAATAGACAACTGATACAAATACATAGATAATTTTTTTTCGTAAATATATACATATTATACATAGAAAACACCCAGACCGATACAATCATACTCATGAATACAAATGTTTGTACCGTACGGGGAATCGATCCCGTGGCCATTGATAGTAAAGCTGTGTGTTAAACCGCTAAAGCACTGAGGCCGTCAATATCTATACATATAAATAAAATTGGAGTGTCTGTTTGTAATATTAAAATAACCATTTCTGATTACATGCATATGAATATAAATAAGGTACATAAACTGATTTTTTTTTACAATTTTTGTCTGTCCGTCTGTTTGTTCCGGCTAATCTCTTAAATGGCTGGACCGATTTGGCGGGATTTTTTTGGCAGGTAGCTGATGTAAAAGACTGAGAGAACTTCAGAGCAATTATATTGTTTACTAGCTGTTCCCGCGACTTCGTCCGCGTGGAATTAAACTTTATTTTTCTAAAATAAAAGTAGCCTAAGTTACTCCTTATTACATCAGCTACCTGCCAATAAAAGTCCCGTCAGTCCAGTCATTTCAGAGATTAGCCGGAACAAACAAACAGACAGACAAAAATTGTAAAAAATGTTATTTTGGTGTATGTACCGTATATTCATATGCATGTAGTAAAAAACGGTTATTTCAATATTACAAACAGACGCTCCAATTTTATTTATACGTATAGATACATGTACACCCGTGCAAAGCCGGGGCGAGTAGGTAGTAAATTATGAGTGAACATATTTATTTTAACAAACTGCTAAGCAGTTTTGCGGTTTGACAGTACATTTTAGTTTTCTATTAAATTATGTTTTAATAAGTGTAAAATAAAATCACATCTTTTGTAAAGTAATATTATATTTTACATATATTTTATATACAATTACTAGTTTTACAATTTCACATGTTTACACAAAGTAAATACAATTCAACCACATTCATAACTCGTCTACACGCACACACTGGGATGGGAGAGTTCCGAACTCTCCCATCATACAAAACCAAGCATCTTTTAGAAAAAGTTAATAGGTCTTTTATGGGAATAGATATAACAATTTACACCTATCCTATCCAAACCAAGGTTTGTAGTGCCATCTGGTACTTTCACTGGAGTATTGCAGTGTAAAGTATACGTCCAGGCTTATGCATTCTGTCGTTTATATATGACGGTGGCTTTTTTCGGACTACTGTAATGCTGGCCGCAGCTGGCCTTTACAGCTTCACCGGACGATTACGAGTGCCGATGGCACTCCAAACCAGAGGAAGGACTTATGGAACGGCTGAAGGCCAACTCCTGCCTGACGGATACGACTTTAGTCTGAGGGCACCACTAGGGGTTCGAACCTCGGCTCAGGCCGTCGTAATTTCGATCCCCGTTTGAATTGGACGGGGGATCGATCAGAGGGGGCAAAATAAGTAATACAATTCCAGTACTTGGGCTGGGACAAAAGTCAAACATTAGCGCGTTTCAAATTTTCTAGTAGCGCCATCTAGTAATGGATTTGAGTAACAAACTTAGTACTTTAAACACGCCTCTTGTTCTGTAACTGCTAAAACCACCCTACAAACACATTCAACGGGAAAAAGGGATTGTTAGTAATGTGGACTCGTGACCCGGTTACTAGCAATGTACCATGTCAGGTTGACCTCCACGCGGTCCCCCCTGGAAACCATCGTGATAAATTTCCGCTAAATATATCATGATGTGCTAACTGACCTGACCTCATGCTCATCTTATCATCCTCCACTGGTGCTGCCAGCGTATACCGTTAGCGCAGGCTGGTGCACCATACCATTATCATCCATAAAAAAAACACATTTATCGATCGATCGGAGGTGATTTTAACACTATTATCTGATTGTTCTGATGAACAATTTAAGAATATCAGTAAATAGACGTACGAGTTATGAACATAACTGAAGGTAGAGTTGTGTGTACGTAGAAGCCACTTGGTCATCCCTGGGGTACATAGGGATGACCGAGTGGCTTCTACGGGTACGGTAAGGGACGGACACAAGAACTAGGGATGTTATGGATATGAAATTTCGGATACGTTTCGGATATAGGAAAGAACCGGACACGGATACGGATATGAAATTATTCCGGATTATCCGTTAGTTTCGGATAATATCGGTTACGGATATTAATGTTTTAAGGAATTTCAAAAGTAAAATATAAATAGCTAATAAAATGGTTACATAACATGTCTCAATTAGGCTCCGTCCCTAACCGATATTATCCGAAACTTTTATTTCTGATTCGGTTACGGTTACGGATATTTTTTTATATCGGATATCCGATAGTTTCGGTTACGGTTACGGCGCTCCTTAACATTCCTAACCAGAACCCGTGTCCCAGACTGCGCTGCCGGGAACTAAATCTGGTAATCCTTTGGATCGTAGAGTTCAGATAGCAGCCGGTAGATGTAGGAAGGAGAGCTCCCACCGCTGTGAAATAAAAATAAGAAAAATCTTAATATCAAATAAACTTAATATAAACACTTTTGAATAGTCATATTTTTTATTCTACCGCTCATTCGGAACGCAGACTCATCACAAGAAGAATGAGCAAGAAACTTGTGTGTTGTTCTTTTAATTTAATTAAATTTATTAAACGGCGTCGGTGGTCTAGTTGTTTAGGACACTGCTTTACTTCCTATGGTCGCGGGTTCGATTCCTCTCATGGTACAAACAAGGTCTGGGTGTTTTATGTATGTATTTTCGATAAAAAAAAAATGTATTTGTATCAGTTATCTACTACTCACAACACCAGCTTTAGCTAACTTAACTTGGGTCTAGATGGCGCTGTGTGAATTGTCCTGAGATTATTATTTCTAAAATAAAAGTAGTCAAGTTACTCCTTATTACATCAGCTACCTGCCAAAAAAGTCCTGTCAAAATCGGTCCAACAATTTCAGAGATTAGCCGGAACAAACAAAAAGATGGACAGAAAAAATTGTAAAAATGATATTTTGGTGTATGTACCGTATTTATATTCATATGCATGTAGTAAAAAACGGTTATTTCAATATTACAAACAGACACTCCAGTTTTATTTATATGTATAGATTGTCATTTTAGTACTAATATATGAAATGCGTACAGGTTGGTGATGAACAGCGTGATGTGATCGGGCGGTACGAAGTCGTACAACGGTGCGTACACGTGCACGCTGCTGCTGGAGCCGCTCCTGTACACAACACAACAGTATATTACAACTACACGACACCGTCCTCGCTGGCGAAGACGACGACCTCAACCACACCATATCGCGCAATTAAGGCTTCGTCGCCCCTCCGATCGTTCCCCCGTTCAATTCAAACATGGATAGAAATTACGACGGTCTGAGCCGAAGTTCGTATCCCTAGCGGTGCCCTCGGACTAAAGTCGTATCCATCAGGCGGGAGTTGGTCTTCAGCCGCTCTATAAGTCCTTCCTTTGGTTTGGAGTGCCATCTGCACTCGACGCCTAGCTTCATACCTCCTTACAACCCATTTTTAGCATTAAAAAGTAGTCTATGTCCTTTCTCAGGATCTAGACAATCTGTGTACCAAATATCATTTAAATCGGTTTAGTAGTTTTTACTTGAAAGCGAGACAGACAGACAGTTACTTTCGCATTTATAATATTAGTAATGATGAATGAATGAATGAATGAATGAGGTGCGTGTACTGACTGGTAGGGCAGGGCTCGGTGCGGGTCGGCCAGCGCGTTGAAGTGGTGCTGGTCGCAGGCGTGTAGCGGACACAGCTTGTACAGCGGCGACAGTACGATCACCTGCCGCAACATATATCATACTGCGTGAGTTGCTGGCAGCTTGGCCACCATTAATTTACCATTAGACGACCTCGGTAGCCTAGCACACCGCTTCCGATGATCGCGGGTTCGATTCCTCGCACGGCACAAACATTTGTTTGTTTGTAATACTTTATTGTACAATAATATTATAAATAAAAGGACACAATTGACTTAGAAAAAACATGCGTACAATGGCGGACTTATCCCAGAAGAGGGATTTCTTCCAGTCAACCTTTGTATTCATGAGTATGATTATTTGTATCACTCTTGTTGTTTTCTATGTATAATATGTATGTATTGTGATGACAGGAGCGGTGGTGAGAGTAAACACACACAGTAGGGTGTAACTTGTATATTAACTGTTACATCTTGATTTACTCTAGCTTACACTAATTACATAAACTATATATATGAGCTACTGCGTCACCTACGTGTCGTTAGATAAAACGTACACTGGCACAATCTACTATCGACCGTGCTGATTTGCATCACTATATCACAGTATTTATGAAAAAAATATCTATGTATTTGTATCAGTTATCTAGTACCCATAACACAAGCTTGAGCTATATTAACTTGGGACTAGATGGCGCTGTGTGAATTGTCCTGAGATTATTATTATTTATTTTTTTCTCAGCTTTTGCTGGTTTTCTCCACACTTACGGGCCGAAACCAAGTAAGTGCAGAGTGTGTGTATGTGTGAGTGTATGTGTACTTATTGTGTGACTGGTGTTATATCCTTTTTATCTATTTCGAAAGTTTTCAGACTATACGATAGGTACTTAAGATGGCAGCCTTTTGAAGGGTGATGTAAAGTGTTTTTTGTATATCTAATTGTTTCAGGCTTTGATGTAGGTGATTAGGTATGATACCTGTAGATGAGAGGACTATGGGTATTATATAATCTTTTCCTGTTTTTATTATCTGTTAAATCATATTTACTGAGCAAGACCTATTACTCACTAAACGATTACTTGAATGACGAGCGTGCGTGGCAATAGTTGTTCATGCACTGGATTTTCATTTAATGTTAGACATAGACACCTATATAAAAATACATTGTAAATAAACTGGCTTTAAAAAAAAAAAGTAATTCAATTGAGTTTCTTGCCAGTTCTTCTCAATTGGATCTATATACCGAACTGGACGGTAGGGAAAAATTAAAATTATAATGTAAAAATTTGACGTTCATAAGCGGCTAAAATGTCCTACATGAATAAATGATTTTTGAATTTTTATTATTATATTTCCTCTCGACTCTCGCCGGTAATCTTGGTACGTACGGGCCTAAGCCAAGTACACAACAATGTTCTATTTTTAGGTGTATATACTATATATTATATTATTATATAAAAATTCTCATCTCAGTGTCATTGTTTATTATTATTATTATTTTTAGTTAGCTAGCTTGAATATATAAACATTACTTGGCTGCGAAGGTGGCCGCGTGGAGGCCGGCCACTAGTGGGAGTGGTACGTACGGGCACGCTGTGGTGTGTGGCCACTAGTGGGGGGGAGTGGTACGTACGGGCACGCTGTGGTGTGTGGCCACTAGTGGGGGGGAGTGGTACGTACGGGCACGCTGTGGTGTGTGGCCACTAGTGGGGGGGAGTGGTACGTACGGGCACGCTGTGGTGTGTGGCCACTAGTGGGGGGGAGTGGTACGTACGGGCACGCTGTGGTGTGTGGCCACTAGTGGGGGGGAGTGGTACGTACGGGCACGCTGTGGTGTGTGGCCACTAGTGGGGGGGAGTGGTACGTACGGGCACGCTGTGGTGTTTGGCCGCGAGGGTGGCCGCGTGGAGGCCGGCGTCTCCGAGCGCCGCGCCGCCCGCCAGCACTGCACGCGCACCCACCACCACCTGGGGGGAGATGTAACGTATATACTGCTGCTCGCGACTTCGTCCGCGTGGAATCGTGACCTTTGATATCATTTTAATTATTTTACAAATAAGACATTCATGGCATCATTCTAGCTTAAAAAATGACGAATTTCCACACAAACTTTCATCCCCTACCTTATTATGCACCCTTAAAGGCAATTCTTTTAAAAACTTTGAATGTCACATTTATTAATATTTAACCAACAGCCTAAAAATATAAATTTCAACCTTCTAACTTCAAAAATGACGATTTTTCCATAAAACCTTCAATGTCCCTTTTCAACCCCTTACAACCCTTTTTCCGTAAAATCCCATGTCCTTTCTCAGGGTCTAGACCTGTGTACCAAATCATCATTACATAGTATAATACAAAATCGCTGTCGCTGTCTGTCCGTCCCGTATGCTTAAATCTTTAAAACTACGCAACGGATTTTGAAGCGGTTTTTTTTTAATCGATAGAATGATTCAAGAGGATCGTTTATATATATAAAACATGTACATCCGGGCGAAGCCGGGGCGAGTAGCTAGTATAATTTAAATCGCTTCAGTAGTTCTTTCGTGAAAGCGCGACAGACAGAGTTACTTTCACATTTATATATAGTAAAGCTATCTTCTGGAGACGAGCGTGACCTGACCTTGTTGACTCTGGACATGACTCCGAAGATGCACGCGTCTTCGATGACCGTGACCGGAACGCCCGCCTGGCTCAGTCGGGCGGCCATCGCGTGACTCTGTAACGTGGGAAATAAAATAAAATAAAAAACTGTTATTTATGTGAGTAACATTGTTGAGCTCAGAACGACTTGTATCTAGAGTCGCAAAACATAATAAATTAAAAGAAAATATATTTAATATGCTTTCATTATAGTACAAGAGTACTACGACAGTTCCCTTTCCTGTCATCTGTCACTTTCACACTCACTTTTCTTTGTCAGTGTGAGAGCTAGACAAAATATTCAAGTTTGATCACCGCCATTCGTCACTCTCCAAACATAATTCAATAAATGATGTTTTCATTTCAAAAACGTTGAAAATTTTCAAACCTTTCAAAAGCTCCGTTCTAATACAAGTTTACGGACAATTTTTTAGTCAATTTTGAGTCGGATGCGTCGTTTAGGGCTTTGATAGGGGAGGGGCACCGATAGGTGCACTCCCTTGCCTCTTTCGGAGCGGGTGGTTCTTTAAAGGGATTTTCTATAAGTATGAAGACTCCGACGACCGGCGACTTCCTACACGTAATATACCATTTACACGTGTACGAGACAGCCGCGCCGCACGTGAATAGCGGCTCGTCACGTGGTCGGCGTGTGTATCACTCGGCTCGTCACGTGGTCGTCACGTGGTCGTGGTCACCTGGCGGGGCCGCACGCCGGCTGCGAGCAGCAGGCGGTAGCGGCGCGGCGCGGCGTGCCGCAGGAACCGCTCCACGAGGGAGCTGGCGCCGCACGTGAGCAGCAGCTCGTCACGTGGTCGTCACGTGGTCGTGGTCACCTGGCGGGGCCGCACGCCGGCTGCGAGCAGCAGGCGGTAGCGGCGCGGCGCGGCGTGCCGCAGGAACCGCTCCACGAGGGAGCTGGCGCCGCACGTGAGCAGCAGCTCGTCACGTGGTCGTCACGTGGTCGTGGTCACCTGGCGGGGCCGCACGCCGGCTGCGAGCAGCAGGCGGTAGCGGCGCGGCGCGGCGTGCCGCAGGAACCGCTCCACGAGGGAGCTGGCGCCGCACGTGAGCAGCAGCTCGTCTGCGTGCACGTGCTCGTTGGCCTGCGCCACCACGCCCGCCACGCTCTGCTCCAGCTCGCCGCGCAGCTGCCGCACATGTTAATACCGTCGTTTGTGGGTTGCGTGCGCGGTGGCACGATAATATTACCGTCAAAACATTTTTTTTAGTTTATTACGACGGGTGTAACACTAAGGGTGCCAGGTCAAAATAAATAATATTAACTAAAACATTAGTTACTGGGCAAGTGTGTTTATCATATTGACTCATTATTGACATTCTTATACTGTATAATTAGTAAGTACTATTAATATATAATTATCGCGATGTCTTGTAAGACATCATTTCAAAATTAAAACAACATATTACCAATCAGACTGACATGTTACATCATACTTAAAAATACAAACGTAACCGTACAAGGAATCGAATCTGCATCCGAAGTAAACTACGGGATACAGCTAGGTAACTGTATCCCGTAGTTTACTTCGGATGCAGATTCGATTCCTTGTACGGTTACGTTTGTATTTTTAAGTATGTATACATCAATATAATAATTGCATTTAATAATATCTAGTAAGACAAACTCAATATTGTGTACTAAGCACTGCCGTGTCTAAACTGTGTCACCCCACCTTACATTTTCCTATTGTTATTGTTGGATTACGAATCCTTATAAATTAATATATAAAAGAGAGAGTGGACTGTATTTATTGAAAAGAAAATAATTAATGAAAAAGGAAGTAAAAATACGATTTCGACCTGGAAGAACGTCTTCCACACTCCGAACACCCCAAAGTAAGCAATGTAACACCAAACTTACTCACCTTTGCTCAGGAACGTCCCGATGTGTAGTACTGTTTAGTGGCCACGCACTCTAGAGTGTATATTTTCATCAAAAACAATTATATTGTGTTAAATAATTCCTTAATTATCTTGTTTTCTGTAGATAAAAATACGGAGCGTCCTTTTAATTCCAGTTCTTATTTTCAATTGTTTTTTTTATTCTTTTTATAAAATTTAAGTGGCCACATGTTTTTATATGTGGCCAGTATTACCGAGCGCCCTTTGCTTCAGTAAGCAAGCCGGTGATACAACCTGCTTAGACTAAGGAGGTTCGGAATACGGAACATACCCCCGGCCGAAACCGTATTGACGGTTTCAAGTTAGTATAAAGGTAAAATAAAATTCATTAACTAAAGAAGTAATGCAAAGGGAACTGTACAATAATAATAAGGAAAAAGAAATGGAAAATTAATTAATATAGGGAAGGGGGCTCAATTTATTAACTGGTCTCTTAAGGAGATTTTTTTGTGTACGAATTGTAACACATCGAACTATTCCATCATCTCCAGGATGAAGTAATTCAATACGAGCCAAAGGCCAATTGCAAGGAGGCACGTTATCGGTTTTAACTAATACAATATCTCCTATTTTAATATTAGCATTAGATTTGAACCATTTTCCCCGTTGTTGTAAAGTGTTTAAATATTCATCTTTCCATCTTTTCCAAAATAGCTGAGTACATTTCTGTAAATATTGCCAACGTGACAATCTGTTAATTGGAATATCCTCAACATTATACTCTGGAACAGCAACCAAACTTTTCCCTATAAGAAAATGACCAGCGGTTAAAACGTTATAATCGTCTGGATTATCACTTGGTGGTAGTGGACATAGCGGCCTAGAATTTAATATAGCCTCTATTTTACAAAATATTGTGGAAAGTTCCTCAAACGTTAAAGACTTCCCTCCTATAGTTCTAACAAGATGGTATTTTACTGATTTAATACCAGCTTCGGCTAACCCATTCATATGTGGTGCACTAGGCGGATTAAATTTCCAAATTAAAGATCGATTGGAGCAGCCGTCTATAAGTTCATTTTGAGTTTGACAGTCTGCGAAAAATTTCTGAATTTCATTTAAATGCTTACTACTAGCAAGAAAATTAGTGCCACAGTCAGAATAAATAATAGAACACAAGCCTCTACGAGAGACGAAACGATCTAACACGGCCAATAAACATTCCGCTGATAAAGAAGATAACGTTTCAAGGTGTACCGCTTTTGTCGAAAAGCACACAAATAATGCAACATATGCACGGGATGATTTTGCGTTACGACGCAAATTTTCTTTTACAAAGAACGGACCGCCTAAATCTACACCAACGTGATCGAAAACTTTGTTAGGTCATACACGCGTTAAAGGTAAAGATGCCATCTTCGGTTGTAATAGACACGGTCTATTCCGAAAACAAATTATGCATTTGGATAATTCTGAACGAATAATCTGACGAGCAGATAATATCCAAAAATTTTGAATAAGAATATTCTGTAGAGTACGAGGTCCGGCATGTAAATACTTTAAATGAAAATGTTTAATAAGTAGGGTAGTGAATCTACTGTTCTTTGGTAATAGTCGAGGATGCCTAGCATTATATGGTAAATCGGCATGTGATAAACGACCCCCGACTCTGAGGAATCCCTCTTCATCTAAAAAAGGTGAAAGTTTCCTTAAACTGGGTATGTACTCATGACCTTGTGATAAATTGTTAATTTCGGTATCAAAATATGCTGATTGTATCATTTTAATTAAAAAATTTTGTGATTTATTCAATTCTGATGTAGTCAGAGTTGCAGATCCTGAATTGTTAAAACTATTACTGAACAATTTTAATATTCTAGCGAAACAACGTTGTAATTTGGTATATGATGAAAATTGATTAAATATTCTTTCACAAAATTCTAATTTAGATTCCACTACTTCATTAGAATTAGTACCGATAAGAGAGGTAATTTTAATATCTGGTTTTAATTCCAATAAATTTGACTTTTCATTGTTTACGAACAATGTAACAGGCCATTTACTAATATTTTCGTGAAGCCAATCTGGACCCGATAACCATTTTCTACTGTAGTTTACCAGTTGAGATGGACTAGCGCCGCGAGAACAAATGTCAGCCATGTTGTTCTCACTGTTGACATGCCTCCAAAAATGTGGCGGTAACGTTTCTATTATTTGTGTAACACGGTTACAAACAAATAATTTTAATTTATAAGCTTCAATTTGAAGCCATGACAATACGATTGTCGAATCAGTAAGAGCAGTAACACGGACAATTTTCAAACGACTTAAGTTATTATTTATATATTTAATTAATTTACATAGCAGTAGGGCGCCCATCAGCTCAAGACGAGGAATAGTCAACGGCTTGATCGGTGCCACTTTTGATTTCGCCATCATTAGACTTACTTTAACACGCCCTTCATCATCTCGACTAATAGCATAAACACACGCGGCATAACCCCGAGAAGATGCATCGCAAAATCCCACTAATTCACATTCCAATTGATTAGGCAGTAACATGTGTCGTTCAATAAGAATTTCAGACAAACTCGGTAATTCAGTAATAAAATCTGTCCAACGTTTACATATATGTGCAGGCATCTGCTCATCCCATCCTATTCCTAACTTCCATAGATCTTGCATTATTTCTTTAGCCATAAATAAACAAGGCGATATAAATCCCACGGGATCATATATCGATGCTAATATTTTTAATACAGATCGCTTTGTGTTCACATAATCTTTAACATTTACTGTAAAATTGAACCTGTCTGATAACGGAACCCAACGTAGGCCTAAAACTTTGACAGTGCACTCATTCTCGTCCTTAATAAAATCAATAGGACATTCTCTATGTTCCACGGGAACTCGCTCTAATAACTCGACTTTATTACTCGCCCATTTCTTGAGTACAAAACCACCGCGACTTAATAATTCAATTAGCTCGTCCTGTAATTTACATGCTAACTGTAAGTTCTCGCATGAGCATAAAATGTCATCCATATATATATTTTCACGTAACACCTGAGCGGCCATAGGAAATTGTTCACCTTCATCATCCGCCAGTTGTAATAAAGTACGTATTGCAAGAAATGGGGAACAGCTTAAACCATACGTAACAGTTTTTAATTCATATAGTTGTATAGGTTTTGACGGAGCATCGCGGTACAATATGTGTTGATAACAACGATCCTCTTTTCTTAACGAAATAGCACGATACATTTTACAAATATCACTCACTAGACAATATTGAAAAAGACGAAAATTTAATATAATAGCAACAATATCACGATAAAGTTTCGGACCAGTCAATAAAATATCGTTTAAGGACACATTATTGTCCGACTTAGCAGACGCATCGAAAACAACTCTTAAAGGCGTCGACGAGCTACTTGGACGTACAATACTATGGTGTGGAATAACGTATTTACTAGGAACGCAATTATTATACGGTTCCATATGATCTAGTGATTCATATTCTTTCATAAAATCCGTATAAGCTTTTTGTAACATAGGGGTCCGTGTTAGTTTACGTTCCGTATAGCGTAATCGGCGCTCAGCTATTATCAACGAATCACCCAATGAAGGATGATTTGGTCTAAACAGTAAAGGTACCATATATCTACCCTTGCTATCCCGAGTATGATATTTAATAAATATTTTTTCAGCCAACTCATCAAGTGGATTCATGACAGACTGACAAGGTAACTCTTCTATTTCCCAAAACTTACGTAAAGTTATGTCTAACGATGGTTCCTCATTAATTGATGAAGATAAATAAGAATTTAACATATTATCAGTATCACTAACCCACAATTTGCCACTTACAACAAATCCAAATACTGTTTCAATTACTTGAGGAATATTAGATTTTATTATTATAGGTTTATCCTTAATTAGTTCCGACACTATGTCATTACCCAGTAAAATATCTACACGGGAGCGTTTATAATAAAACGGATCCGCTAAAGTAAAGTTCTTATATTCGTCAATCACAGTGGACGGAAACGAAATGTTAGGCATATCGGTCGATACTTTACTAACCACAACCAAATCTACTGTAAAATAAGACTCATGTACACGTCGCGATGAAAATGTACATGTTACCATTCCGTGATTCTTCACGGACTCACCCCCAAGTCCATATATCGAATAAGGACACTGTTTTCGCGGAAGACCCAAACGTTGAGCACAATCCGTTGTTATAAAAGAGCACTGAGCTCCAGAATCAAGCACTGCACGGCAGTCCTGACTTCCACCATACATATCCCTAACATGCAACCGCGCTGTACCTAACACGACACTGTAATTATGTTTATTATCAGTACTTTGTAATTTTTGTGCACCAGCTTCCGACTCGCTCACAGAGCGACCGGTAACTAGCACTTGCTGTAACTGTAAACTAGTCGAAGGAGAGTCGAGATTAGAAGGAGTGGACGCCGTCGACACGGTCGACACATGTCCCGCATCCTTGTGTAATAAGTAGTGATGTGATGACGCACAGACACCACAATTCATTACACTTTTACAAGACAAATTATCATGATTTGCCTTTAGACAATTAGTACATAACTTTAATGCCTTGACACGGTCAATTCTGGCATCCGGTGACAGTTTACGAAACTGTTTACACCTATAAATCATATGATTTTGATTACAATGAAGACAAATAAATTTAGAATTAATATTATTAGATTTAAAATTATTATTCGACAACACTGATGAAGTAGTAAGAGCTTGCTTCTCCGATAAAGAACGCGGTTTATAATTATTGTATATTGTTTGAATTTTTGTTATGGGTTTACGTTCCAGTACCACGGGACAGGAGTACGAATTAGGAAATGTGTGTTCGAGTACCTTAATTTGATTGTTTACGAAACTCATTAATTCAGTGAATGACGGAAGTATCTTTTGATCGCGACTATCTTCAAATAATTTTCTAGTGGTTGTATCTAATCCACGTAACGCTAAATGACAAATTAAATAATCACTTAAATTATCCACTTTTAACGCTTCGATTGCCTTCCATGAATTATCGAAGGTATCTATGAATGAACTTAGGTTTGCCGCAGAGTTCTTTCCTATCGGAATGAAGTTAATCATTTTATCTAAATACCTACCTACTAATATTCTGTGGTCTTGATACTTGTCTACTAAACATTGCCAGGCAAGTGGATAGTTATTGGCAGTGATAGGAAATTTCTTAATTATGTTAAGTGCTGAACCTTTTACACAAGATAACAAGTAATGAAATTTATCAATATTTTCAAAATTACGTTCATGGACCAATGATAAGAAAGTATCATGAAAGGTTGTCCAGTTTTCTAATTGGCTGTCAAACTCAAATAACTTTTGTTTGGGCAAAGACGGCCGAACCTGATCACAATGTTTATTCTTTGAGGTACTCTCTAACGTTTGATATTTCACAACTACTGATCTACAGGCAGAGTATAATGTATCAAATGAATCCAATTCGCTAGTACAATATTTAGTATCAGGATTTAACTGAAGTTCGAGTTGTAATATTTCCATAATTATCTCTCCAAAACGTGTTCTAACATTATCTAAATCCGAAAATTCAGCTAAATATAATTGAAAATTACTTCTAGTCACGGACTGTGACATATCATAAACCTTTTGTAATTTGGAATACAAATATTCCTTTCGAAAATTTAAAATCTTTTGTTTAGAATCCATTTCAGAATTGGTCGTCATTTGTTTTATTGATATTAATTACCTATATGAAAAAATAGTATCGCCTAATATAATATGCGTCCTTGCAACTAATTTCAGCTATTATTGAATGAAATGAGATGCTATAATTTTAGGAAAAACACAACAAATGTAAATAATATAATATATATAATTATCCGAATTACTGGATAAATGAATATTATAACTAATAGGATGTATTTCATCCGGTTCGATTGGGCCAAAAAATGTTGGATTACGAATCCTTATAAATTAATATATAAAAGAGAGAGTGGACTGTATTTATTGAAAAGAAAATAATTAATGAAAAAGGAAGTAAAAATACGATTTCGACCTGGAAGAACGTCTTCCACACTCCGAACACCCCAAAGTAAGCAATGTAACACCAAACTTACTCACCTTTGCTCAGGAACGTCCCGATGTGTAGTACTGTTTAGTGGCCACGCACTCTAGAGTGTATATTTTCATCAAAAACAATTATATTGTGTTAAATAATTCCTTAATTATCTTGTTTTCTGTAGATAAAAATACGGAGCGTCCTTTTAATTCCAGTTCTTATTTTCAATTGTTTTTTTTATTCTTTTTATAAAATTTAAGTGGCCACATGTTTTTATATGTGGCCAGTATTACCGAGCGCCCTTTGCTACAGTAAGCAAGCCGGTGATACAACCTGCTTAGACTAAGGAGGTTCGGAATACGGAACAGTTATCTTCTTCTAAATATATATAACTCAAAGACTGACTGACATAGTGATCTATCAACGCACGGCCCAAACCACTGGACGGATCGGGCTGAAATTTGGCATGCAGGTAGATGTTAAGACGTAGGCATCCGCTAAGAAAGGATTTTGATTAATTCTACCCCCAAGGAGATCAAACCCTTTTTTATCTCCTTGGGGGTAGAATGAAAGTTTGTATGAAACTTTGTCAATTAAACCGATCGGGCTGAGACTTAGCATGCATAAAGCTACTATGACTTAGGCATCCCCTAAGAAAGGATTTTGATAAATTCCACCCCTAAGGGGATAAATTAACGCGAGTGAAACCGCGGGCAAAAGCTAGTTTAGTATATAAGATCAATATTTCTATGTACATATAGTAAGTCAATTATTAACTGTAATATACATCGTCTCAACCAACAACATAGTATCATTAACCCGCAGTATAAACCACACAACAAAATTGCCGAATTACGACAAAAAGTGAACTGTGAAATTAAACAATCAATAATTAAACAAAACCTGGACTATAACAAATAGTGAACTTTGAAAATAGTGTTAAAATAAGATTTCATATAATTGTATATGCAGTGTAAGAATTCATAATGTGTATTGTTACATTATGAATTCTTACATTGCACAATGTAATGAAAACTGTGAAATTAGTAGTAGTGTAAGATTTATATAATTGTATATGCATATTGATAAATCTAATCCTCCAAATAAAGATGGGTGACACTGCATGTTGTCAACTCACCCGGCCGGCCAGCGGTGGTTCTGGGCCAGACGGATAAGGTCTGCCTCGGTGTCACTGTTAGGCAAATTGTAACATCTCGGCTGGAGTTGTACAAAAATGGAAATTAAATAAATATAATAATATTAAAGTAAATTAAAAAAGGCACGGACGAATATGTCTGTGGAAAAATGTATTTAAATATATAAAAAAAAAAAAGTATAAACCACGGTGCTTGCACTAGTCTATTGAGACGTCAGAGTGGGTACATACCTCTGCAATCTGGTCTCGGATGGGTTCTCGTAAGTCAGTGCCGGCGGGACCTAGAGTTCCCCGACGAGCGGGAGCTGCCAGCACCAGCCGCTGTAGACCCTCACCAGCACTCTCCCCACTCTGAAAAATGGGTAAATGATTGACCATAGACAAAAGACTCTTCATTCTTCTAGTCTATTGCGACATCTACCACTTTCTGTCTTCTCTTCTCTACCTAAAAGTTGTCTCAGAGTGTCTGTTTGTAATATTGAAACAAGCGTTTTTTACTACATGCATATGAATATAAATACGGTACATACACCAAAATACCATTTTTTCCATTTTTTTTCTGTCTCTCTGTCTGTTTGTTCCGGTTAACCTCTGAAATGGCTGGACCGATTTTGACGGGCCTTTTATTAGCAAGTAGCTGATGTAATAAAAAGTAACTTAGGCTACTTTTATTATAGAAAAATAAAGTTAAATTCCACGCGGACGAAAGCCCGGGTGCAGCTAGTGTATAATATGTATGTATTTACGAAAAAAATATCTATGTTTTTGTATCAGTTGTCTAGTACCCATAACACAAGCTTTAGCTAGCTTAACTTGGGACTAGATGGCGCTGTGTGAATTGTTCAGTATTATTTATTTATCTATTTTGTTTTTTTGTTCTGTAATTGGTGCAATAATGAGTATAAATCCTATCTTATATATAAAATTCTCGTGTCACAATGTTAGTTCCCATACTCCTCTGAAACGGTTTGACCGATTGTTATGAAATTTTATATGCATATTCAGTAGGTCTGAGAATCGGCTACTATTTATTTTTAATGCCCCTAAGTGGTAAGGGATATCCACCCCTAACTATATATTATTATTTTCGACATTTTATTTTCATTTTAATATTGAAAAATATATACAACCCTAAATTTTCACGCTTCTAGCATCAACCCCTATTTTTTAAAAGCAATTTTAATTTATATGGCAAAACAACGTTTGCCGGGACAGCTAGTAAATATAAAAAAAATGATGATGGAAGTAAGCTGACCAGGTTGGCATGAGCGCTGTACTCGTCCCTTATGAACCGCAGCACGCGCCTCACCATGTTCACGGCCACCAGCTCCTGAGGCAGCGCCCGAGACATACGCCGCCCCGCAGCGCGCATCGTCGACGACAACTCCCTATCAGATGGACAAAACATACTGTAATAATCACTTTACTACATAGTATAAAACAAAGTCGCTGTCGCTGTCTGTCCGTCCCTATGTATGCTTAAATCTTTAAAACTACGCAACGGATTTTGAAGCGGTTTTTTTAATAGATAGAGTGATTCAAGAGGAAGGATTATATATATATAATACATGCATATATATGCATATATATAGTATAAAACAAGTTGAGAAATTCAAAGATTTTTAATACATCCGTGTGAAGCCAGGACGTGTCGCTAGTAATAATAATCTCAGGACAATTCACACAGCGCCATCTAGTCCCACGTTAAGCTAGCTAAAGATTGTGTTATGGGTACTAGACAACTGATAATAATAATAATCTCAGGACAATTCACACAGCGCCATCTAGACCCACGTTAAGCTAGCTAAAGCTTGTGTTATGGGTACTAGACAACTGATAATAATAATAATCTCAGGACAATTCACACAGCGCCATCTAGACCCACGTTAAGCTAGCTAAAGCTTGTGTTATGGGTACTAGACAACTGATAATAATAATAATCTCAGGACAATTCACACAGCGCCATCTAGTCCCACGTTAAGCTAGCTAAAGATTGTGTTATGGGTACTAGACAACTGATAATAATAATAATCTCAGGACAATTCACACAGCGCCATCTAGACCCAAGTTAAGCTAGCTAAAGCTTGTGTTATGGGTACTAGACAACTGATAATAATAATAATCTCAGGACAATTCACACAGCGCCATCTAGTCCCACGTTAAGCTAGCTAAAGATTGTGTTATGGGTACTAGACAACTGATAATAATAATAATCTCAGGACAATTCACACAGCGCCATCTAGACCCACGTTAAGCTAGCTAAAGATTGTGTTATGGGTACTAGACAACTGATAATAATAATAATCTCAGGACAATTCACACAGCGCCATCTAGACCCAAGTTAAGCTAGCTAAAGCTTGTGTTATGGGTACTAGACAACTGATAATAATAATAATCTCAGGACAATTCACACAGCGCCATCTAGTCCCACGTTAAGCTAGCTAAAGATTGTGTTATGGGTACTAGACAACTGATAATAATAATAATCTCAGGACAATTCACACAGCGCCATCTAGTCCCACGTTAAGCTAGCTAAAGATTGTGTTATGCGTACTAGACAACTGATAATAATAATAATCTCAGGACAATTCACACAGCGCCATCTAGACCCACGTTAAGCTAGCTAAAGATTGTGTTATGGGTACTAGACAACTGATAATAATAATAATCTCAGGACAATTCACACAGCGCCATCTAGTCCCACGTTAAGCTAGCTAAAGATTGTGTTATGCGTACTAGACAACTGATAATAATAATAATCTCAGGACAATTCACACAGCGCCATCTAGACCCACGTTAAGCTAGCTAAAGCTTGTGTTATGGGTACTAGACAACTGATAATAATAATAATCTCAGGACAATTCACACAGCGCCATCTAGACCCACGTTAAGCTAGCTAAAGCTTGTGTTATGGGTACTAGACAACTGATAATAATAATAATCTCAGGACAATTCACACAGCGCCATCTAGTCCCACGTTAAGCTAGCTAAAGATTGTGTTATGGGTACTAGACAACTGATAATAATAATAATCTCAGGACAATTCACACAGCGCCATCTAGACCCAAGTTAAGCTAGCTAAAGCTTGTGTTATGGGTACTAGACAACTGATAATAATAATAATCTCAGGACAATTCACACAGCGCCATCTAGTCCCACGTTAAGCTAGCTAAAGATTGTGTTATGGGTACTAGACAACTGATAATAATAATTAATCTCAGGACAATTCACACAGCGCCATCTAGTCCCACGTTAAGCTAGCTAAAGATTGTGTTATGCGTACTAGACAACTGATAATAATAATAATCTCAGGACAATTCACACAGCGCCATCTAGACCCACGTTAAGCTAGCTAAAGCTTGTGTTATGGGTACTAGACAACTGATAATAATAATAATCTCAGGACAATTCACACAGCGCCATCTAGACCCACGTTAAGCTAGCTAAAGCTTGTGTTATGCGTACTAGACAACTGATAATAATAATAATCTCAGGACAATTCACACAGCGCCATCTAGACCCAAGTTAAGCTAGCTAAAGCTTGTGTTATGCGTACTAGACAACTGATAATAATAATAATCTCAGGACAATTCACACAGCGCCATCTAGACCCACGTTAAGCTAGCTAAAGCTTGTGTTATGGGTACTAGACAACTGATAATAATAATAATCTCAGGACAATTCACACAGCGCCATCTAGACCCAAGTTAAGCTAGCTAAAGCTTGTGTTATGGGTACTAGACAACTGATAATAATAATAATCTCAGGACAATTCACACAGCGCCATCTAGACCCAAGTTAAGCTAGCTAAAGCTTGTGTTATCGGTACTAGACAACTGATAATAATAATAATCTCAGGACAATTCACACAGCGCCATCTAGACCCAAGTTAAGCTAGCTAAAGCTTGTGTTATGGGTACTAGACAACTGATAATAATAATAATCTCAGGACAATTCACACAGCGCCATCTAGACCCAAGTTAAGCTAGCTAAAGCTTGTGTTATGGGTACTAGACAACTGATAATAATAATAATCTCAGGACAATTCACACAGCGCCATCTAGACCCAAGTTAAGCTAGCTAAAGCTTGTGTTATGGGTACTAGACAACTGATAATAATAATAATCTCAGGACAATTCACACAGCGCCATCTAGACCCAAGTTAAGCTAGCTCAAGCTTGTGTTATGGGTACTAGACAACTGATAATAATAATAATCTCAGGACAATTCACACAGCGCCATCTAGACCCAAGTTAAGCTAGCTAAAGCTTGTGTTATGGGTACTAGACAACTGATAATAATAATAATCTCAGGACAATTCACACAGCGCCATCTAGACCCAAGTTAAGCTAGCGAAAGCTTGTGTTATGGGTACTAGACAACTGATATATATACATAGATATATTTTTTATCTGTTAAATCATATTTAATGAGCAAGGCCTATTACTCACTAAACAATTACTTGCAATAATTGTTCATGCACGGGATTTTCATTTAATGTTAGATATGGAACACAGTTACCTAGATACATCAAAGTAATAATTGCATTTAATAATGTCTAGTAAGACAAATTCAATATTGTGTACTAAGCACTGCTGTGTCTAAACTGTGTCACCCCACCTTACATTTTCCTATTGTTATTTAGTATATAAGATCATTATTTCTATGTACATATTGTCAGTTTATTATTGTCTGTAATATACATCGTCTCGACCAACAACATCGTATCATTAACCCGCAACAATAGACATTTTTTTTTTATTGGATTGTTTGGGCTATTGTCAGATGTGTAGCACCTGTAGCACTGCGACCTACATAGATCTATTGTGCTTGCCCTTTTCAGAGTTCGCTAGACCCGTCAGGGACAAGAATTGAAGGATAGACATAGAGAGAGCACATAGACCTGGCCAACCACGCCGAAATAGAAAAAAAACACTCACAGTGCTGTTGCATTCTCCAGATCCCCAATGATCTGTTCCAAACATGTAACTGTGGCCATTGCTATTTTGTTTGATCCCTCCAGTTTCCTGAAAAATATATACATTGTTATGTTAACATGTGAAGCAACCTGTAGCAACACACTTCATACACGTGCCACCATCCAGTTCCTAGAACCCCTATCGCACGGCACGTGTAACATTAGAAACGCAGCTGCGCGACCTCCAAGCGTTTGTTACCTGCAGCTGGGAATAAAATCCTATATAGGGCCTGAATATTTTTATAATAAACACACCCCCATCCGAATTATCCCTCATCCAATACAAACGGGGACCGATGTTACGACCCCCTAGCAGTGCCCTCAGACTGAAGTTGTATCCGTCAGGCGGGAGTTGGCCTTCAGTCACTCCATAAGTCATTCCTTTGGTTTGGAGTGCCATCTACACTCGCCCCTTATCGTCCGGTGAAGCTGTAAAGGCCAGCTGCGGCCAATGGCAGTAGAGTAGTCAGAAAAAAAAATATAATAAACACATTTACATTCTGTCTCTCGGCTGTATCATTACAGTTGTTATTACCAGCTCCCAGGTTCTCAAAAAGTAGGTCATAAACCTAATCTAAAAGGGCATGTACATACACCTCCTTAAAAATCATTTTATAAGTAACAGCTTAGACCACATCATCACTTAACATCAGGTGAGATTGCGGTCAAGCGCGCTCAAATTATGATATAAAAAAAAATTATTTGTATTACAGACAGATATAAATAAAGAATTAAGCCACACTGATATCAGCAGGGGCTGTAATATGTCTTTTTTCAGTACCCATCCAAATTTTTATTACTAATGTTAGGGTTCACATCGATGTTGTCGAAAAATCTGATATATTAAAAATATTAACAGAAGGTAGTTTCATTATTACTCGGTATTGTTAAACTAGTTGGATATAACCCTCACTCATATCTTCTCTGTATAAAAGGAGGGTTTTTGTAAGACACGGCATTCAGTGTTTGAGCATAGGATGTGCTGATTGTATTTTAAATGCTAAAGTGAATTGTGTTAGAGACATAGTTAAGTTAATGCTATATAGTTGTTATTTTATTATAATACATACTTTACTAGTACATAGAGTTGATATTTCTAATGCTAAGCCTAAAAATTATATACATTATAATAATTATGTTCTACACTAGCTGTACCCGCGACTTCGTCCGCATGGAATTTAACTTTATTTTTCTAAAATAAAAATAGCCTAAGTTACTCCTTATTACATCAGCTACCTGCCAATAAATGTCACGTCAAAATCAGTCCAGCCATTTCAGAGATTAGCCAGAACAAACAGACAGACAATAATTGTAAAAAAAATTATTATGGTGTATGTACAGTATTTATATTCATATGCATATAGTAAATAATGTTTTTTTTTTAATATTACAAATAGACACTTCAATTTTATTTATATGTTTAGATATCTGATATGTAGCAGAGCTGTACACCAATTTCTTTTCAGTTAATTTGCTTTGTTCTTGGTATATATATTTATTCTTTAGTTGTTGTGTTTCATTGGACCTTTCTGGAACAGGGTTGTGGAAGACAGAGCTCAGTGGAGAGAGTTGGAGGAGGCCTATGCCAAAAGGCACACCGAGTCGCGGGATTTTGGAAAAAGTGGTATTATTATTATGTGCTATATAAATTAATATCATAAGAGAATTTTCATTTTATTTCAACTGTTGCCTCCCGCTGTCGTTTTATCATACATTGACGGCGACATCAATTAATAATTCTCCAGTTTTTAACATATTTTTATTATAACATTTTTTGACATATTTATTTTTCATAAAAAAATATTGTAGGCTGCCAGTAACTGTTAATCTACAACAATAGATTCATCACAGCATCATTCTCCACTGGTGCCCCGACAGCGTAGACCGTTACCTTCAGTTGGTGCATTTTATACTCATCCGTTTAAAAAAACAACCCTTTTCCCCTATCAAGTTGTGATTTGTGCCACGACTTACCCACTTCTTATATCGGTTATAAATTTTACAACGATAGCGTCGTGCTTCTCCGACAACTCCTTGATAGGTAATTCTGGTGACAACATCTTGTTAAGTACGTCTTATAAGTTTATAATGAGAATTTGAAAATAATCTTAAATGAAAACATAACCTTAAATTACACAAAGTTATAGTTAGGTTTGCGGTGATATGTTGATTAATCGATATATCGATTTTAAAACTTTAAGTCGAATTTTCTCGGTAACATTTTTAAATATAGCAATAAATAACGGCAAAAAAATATTTATGTAATACAACTTTAGAATTGCGTTTTTTGAGGACGAATATTATTTGTTGTTTTATTTGCTCGTGTAACTTACTAAGACTGTTTGCTGTATAAATATGGAACAATTCTGCTATAGGCATTCATAGAATACTGTGATTATTTTTGTGTTTAAATCTAAAATTAATTATTGCTATTTTTTTACACAGAATCGATATCGCAATTTATATAAAAATGTTTAATCGTTTTATATCGATTATTTTGAATCTCTTGAATCCCTAAAGGTAAGTCATGTCAATTTGATGTTTTTCTTTAATTCCGTACGTTCGGAAATTTTATATTATTGTAAAACAGAAAATAGCCTTCAAAACAAAGAGCAAGGCCATATCTGACATTAAAAGCCCTCAGTTTACTCACTATTAACAATAATAATTGACATATTATTGTGAAATGTCAATTATGTCATGTCAATCTATATTCTATAGAAATGATTTCTTTTTTGGAAATATACATAAATACCATTTCATCAGTGCGAGAGTCGCAAGACTTAAAATAAAATAAAACTACATCAAGTAACAAACTAGAAAAAGCCAGCTCAGGACATATAGAACAGTGGGCAATGTAACATTCTCTTGGAAGGAGATGTCTCACGTAGAAACTGGGGAGAAACATTACTGTCCAGCATTACTAATAAAATATTTACTTAGATGTTAAGAAAACCTTTTCAATATTCGAATTGTCTAACGACCATTGGCTGTCCAAAATGGTACCTCCAAATCAACAAAAGAGTCTATAGCGACTCTTAGAATACAACTCCTGCCTGATTAGGGTTATAGTGTTCACTTATTTGTTATTTATGTCTTCTTGTATGTAAGTTGTTATCGACGTAATATCGGCTCGTTAGCCATAGCTCCACGTCTTTACTCCGCGGCGCTTGCTCAGGGAATCCCTTCCCTCTTGCGCACGGCGGTCCGTGTACGCTCGGCTCGAGACGATAGATAATAAACTGCTAGTGTTTCCACATACACTACATCTCTCTCCTTTTTAAGTTTATTTTCTTTTCAAGCATGAATCAATCCACTCTATTAGGTATTTGTTCCTTGGAGGCATGTGTGCTACGTTACACCGATGGTGGACTCATTTTGACACTATACTGCCACACATAAGCCGAATGCCTCTAGTGCGATTGGCCTTTCCAGCGTAACCAGCACCGTGATTTTTCCTCCTCTTTCGAATATAAATTACATTTATATATTAACTCCAATTTACTCTGTGTTTCACATACTTCACCTTTCTTCTTTTATATTTGTTTTCATATAATCGTTATTCCACTTTGTTATTGTGTAATATTATGTAAGATTAGTATAAAGCACTTCTGAAAAAATGTTGTATGTTTATGACCAGAATATCTCTATCATAGTAGTCACTACTTTATATTTTGTAGGTTTAAGGTAAATACTTATATTTTTTTTCATTCTATCTGTCTCATGCAATGTGTTATTTACATGTAGTATTTTTCTTTATCATGTACATTTGAAAACTGATTATCTAAAACACAATCTGGAATTTCTTCAAAACTCCCCACTATTTATTATTATCATTCCATAAAATATTGATGGGTCCTGTGGTGGTATATCAGAATATTATTATTATATCAAGAGTTGCATCAACAATTGCAAACGACTTTCCACTATATTCTGTCTACACATCTGATATCAGTCCATATAGTATTAATTGGGTATAACTATAACCATTCTTCATCGTACCAAAATTATCTCTCTTATCACCTGCATTAATTCAGTGCTAAAATATTAGGAAAGGTTGTCAGACCAGTCTTTGAGCGATCGACATATACCACATATACCACATATATCACCACAGCGACTCTACGTACTCCAGCAATCGTCAATTATATTAGTTATAGAAATTATATTTTCGACCAAAATTAATGTGTGTCCTATGACTTTTGATTTATTATATTTTACTGAATCCGCTCCATTTCACTCCGATAATTAATATGCATTAAAACTGGCAATTTTTTATTACTTATATTCAACCGCAATTTAATGCAACATTCTATCAATTTACCTTTAATGAATAGGACACCATTCATCAATACACAATACAATGCTTGATGACCCCGCCAAAGACAATTTAACACAAACCTGGACGTTAATACGCAATTGAATGCTTAACGACCCAGCCAACGCAATTTAATGCAACCTGTCCGCCAATACGCAATTTAATGCTTGACGGCCCAGTCCAACGCAATTTAATGCAATCTGTCCATCAGTTCGCAATTTAATGCCTGATGGCCCAGCCAACGCAATTTAATGCAATCTGTCCATCAGTTCGCAATTTAATGCCTGATGGCCCAGCCAACGCAATTTAATGCAATCTGTCCATCAGTTCGCAATTTAATGCCTGATGGCCCAGCCAACGCAATTTAATGCAACCTGTCCGTCAATACGCAATTTAATGCTTGACGGCCCAGTCTACCTTACCTCTGTAGCTCCTTTTTTAGAATATCAATGCCATTGTCACCGTCATTATAACTCCATTGAACTTCTTAATTCATCCTCTTTAAGTATTGGTTATTAGTATTATGCTCATTGTTTTTCTTCCTTTGCTAATTTCTTTAAGGTCATCCGAGCCAATAGTCAATTTATAAGCAAATCATGGACTCCTGCAAAACACCAAATTTTATAATTATAAGACAATTAAACGCCACTCTTATCCATTTAATTTTCACAATATATACATTTATGACTACTAATATTAAACATATTTCAGATTTATTTACTCCACAAGAATGTCCAGTAAATAATTCTAATCTAAAGTATAGGAATACTAATAGTATCCTCAGAACCACTTTTTTCCAATAATGTATCGTTAGTAATTGTTACTGTCATGCATCATGGTTTACATTATTATCTAGTAATAATAATAATAATAATTGTGCAGCCATAATATAACGCACCTCATTCACAATAATATACCTCGTATATAACGACTTCCTTGATTTAACTAATTCTTTGTAATCCCTTGGATTTTCCATAAGAATCGATGTAAAATATACCTTTACATTGCGACATTATTATTATTATTTTTTTTTAATTTGGAAAAACACCTCTTTCTAAGGAATTTTCTTAACCCAAAACCTTTATATAATGTTCCCACCAATGGTATGACTCTAACTCTACTTATCTCTTATCTCATAAAATGTGATTCATGTCAGGACATGTTTCGACGTACTTATGTTCGTAGAACAATAATTGTTGTTCGATGGAAAGTAATGTAAAGTTTTGTAAACACTGCTGCTCGTCACTATTATTAAAGATTCAAGTTGAAATAGCTTACGACAGTTTTTTTTACCTTTTTATAACGAAGTTTAGACCAACGTACCTTCAACATAATAAATCTCAGTTCAACGAATTACTTGATATACTATATATATATATTTTTTTTTTCGATTTGTTTTATCGAGGTTGCACTGTAGTACGTATGTAAAAGTTAAAACACGCTAATTTGTCTAAGCTACCCTGCAATGCGGCCAAAGTATTTAGAGAGCGACCAACACCAGTACTATGACGATAAACAAATACATGTATATATTTTACAACTACTTTTTTTTTTTTTTTATACTACTATGGTGGCAAACAAGCCTACGGCCCATTTGATGGTAAATGGTTACCGTAGCCTATGGACGCCTGAAGCATCAGGGGTGTCACGTGCGCGTTGCCGACACTTAAGAAACCTTAATATACCCTTTTTGAAAAACCCCATACTGTAGTCTCGTGAGAAAACCTCGGCAGGAAGTTCATTCCACGATTTAAGTGTACGCGGGAGGAAGCAGGTATCATTTCCTATTAGCTATCTCAAAACTCAAAACCACATTAATACACTTATTTCGCGTATCGCGACACTACACAACTCCAGCCGCAACTGGATTAACTGTCAATTAAAAATGACTCCCCATCGCTCCAACATCCCCGTCACATTCATATAAAACAGCTGTCAGCGCTGTCTGCATGTGATCACAAAACAAATTCTAACTCCATTCCACAGCTACTAAATGCGGTACATTAATGCAATTATGGCTATTATTCCTATTATTTATTCAAGCTTCTTTAAATAAAGAATATTCATATTCTATTCCATGTTCCCGAAACTTCAAAGAATGTAAAAAACATTTTTTTTTTCCACTCTAATAACCCCTTCACTCATCCGCATAATGCATTAGGCGAGTAGGTACAATAATTCAGAACTTAATAGTAGTTCTATTTCATGTAACCATTATTGTGCAATTTCTAATTTACTGGTATTTTTAAATTAGAGAGAATCTTAAATATGATTCCATAAAGACATACTCACCACCACTGTACTATACTATAGCTTATTATTAAAAGTTAATCACTGTCATTGCTGTAAAAATAATAGAATAATTCTATATACATAATTAGGTATCATTTTTCTCGTTCCAGTGTTACTGACTATAGAAACCACACACCGCATACAGAAACAGCACTCCTGTACCTTACATCCGACCATAACTAGCGACACACTTCCTCGCAATATAATAGTCGGCATCTCAACCTCTTGACTACGTTGTTTTTTGTTTTTCTTCAACAAATTCATTAGACACTAAATTCACCAAACCAAAAGATTGCCTTCTAGGTCGCAAGTGTAGATGCGCGCTTCATTTTAACACAAAGCACAAATTGGTAAAAATATGCCAGACAAGTAGATAGGCACCTTGCACTATACGACATGTATAGTAGACCCCAACATAATATATCAAACTAATAATTAATCTACATTTAAAACCTTCCTATGCAAAACAATTGCAATTCCCACCGGCATCCATTGGAATGCTCACTAATAATTATTATTTATAAATTATATAATCC